GACAGTCTCACGTTGTATTATTTGTCATTAGTTAAACGATGCCTCCCGAATCAAAACTTGGGGTACAATATATCTACTTACTTTACTTGTTGTTTTGGCCCCGCAGGCAATCAAGGATATTTCAGCCGTATTTTTATATTGAAATATTAATAACAGTGCTTCGTCGCACACAGTACGGAAACGACCGAACACACTCAGTTGTTGTTTAAGGAAGCATGCAAGCATAGGAAACGAAGTCTCTCTGTAATGTCTTTTTAACTCCTTTCCTCAAAAACATCTGCTTACAGCCTTTTGGAATAAGAAAAGAATAGAATTCCTTTCAAGTAGATGAGAGGTAAACATGGATTTTTTTAAACTTGAAACCTAATAAGCCGAGTAGAAAGAACTCATGCTTTGTGTTTTAGTAAACTGCGACAACCGAATGAGCTTAGCACAAGAGTTAGCCCGTAAACGCGTGACAATGAATGCTCTAAACAACGATTGATTAAAACGCAAGGACAGAGATTATCAGACGCTCACATAATAATGTTAATTAAATGTTACAAAATCAGCAGAGGGTGGACACAACTCAAACGAAGCTTGTACCTTGCCATGTCGCCGCTATAATCTTTAGCGATCTTCCCTCTTTAGCCTTGCAACGCCTAGGTGAGCAAGCAATTGAGTCTGAACATAGCAACATAGGACTGAATATGTTAGCTGGGGAAGCTAACCAAAGATGACTGTGACCAACGGCGGCTGATGTTGGGGGGGTAGCGAATACACTCGAAAAAAGCCTTCGCCCCGAGGTCCGACCCCTTATCCTTTTATATACCATTTTAGACAGGAAAGGCTACCCTTTCGTATACCTTCAATTGACAAATGGTACCTCTTTCACATACCTTGTTTAGCGCTAGGGCTTTTCACCCCTTTCAACTGCTCTAAATGCAAACGTTGGTGAAAACAGTTGTGAAGTTATGGTGAGTTATCAAAAGCTGTTATGAAACGTTAAAAGGGTTTAAGTACATAGGGGGCTTAACCAGCACCTGTTAAAGGTGTCTAGTTCTTTAAAGCGTTTCATCTGCCTCCGTTTGTGCAATTCTAATAACCATATTTAATTTCAGGTTGAAGACAGAATGTCCCTCTGCAAAGCGCCCTTCATATTCTATGCTCTCTAAAGTTTTTCCATGCATTCAAAGTTGTATGGAAGATGACGAGTGTGTGAGTTGCATCTACAACTTGGCATCTCAGTAATGATACAAAACCGTTGTTTACAGATGAATTTATAGACAAGGACTACTCCATTTACACGGAGATGTTGTGACAGACCTTTATGTGTACTTTACCTCTATTTGTCGCCATTAAAAGACCAACTTATGTTTCACGGAAGAGATGAGAACAAACTTTTTTAGTATTAGAAAAAGCATTTTTGGATATTTAGTCAAGGTGGCGCACAACCGCTTTCCAGAGTCTTAAATGAGACTGCGGCAATGATCAATGAATTATTTTTACACAACACTGTTTTATTTTAATCTACAATGAAGATACTAAATAAATGCCCATATTTTTTTAAATCATTTAAAAAACTGACGCTTCAAAGAAAATATGTTGAGGCTTTTCTCTGTCCCTTATTAGAGAGATAAAGATTCACGTTCACGCCAAATGGCAAACGTCAGATTAAAGTTGAGAATTTCTCAGAATAGAAAATAAGCAGATAGAAACTCTCCAGAATAATTTGTATGTATAAAACTGGCGTGAAACTACTTATTTTTTTAGTTGAAGTAATAAACAGTTAACGACAATTAAGGGAAAAACTTGGTCACGTGGTACAAATTCACGTTTGCCGTTTCGAGAAAACGTGAATCATAATCTCTCTATTAATGATAACCACACTGAGGCTTCTATTTATTACATATTATAGATTTATAAGGGAAATAGAATCATTTGTTTCAGTTGCCAGCAAATTCAGGATATTATACAACTATCCCCCGAAGGGGAGGTGAAGAGTCGCAGCATATATCTAGCACTGTTCACTGACCCTGAGGGGGATAGTTGTTTCAGTATTTACCAAATCAGTTGGATAAAAATGAAGAAAGTGACTTTTTGTAAATTAAAAACGTCACTTAGTAAGAACTTTATTTAGAATTTACAAACATTTCGGCGATTTTGTCAAGTGCATTTTTATGATTTTGTCGCAAATTCAGCATGAAAATAATTTTCTACCTACCAGTAAACAGTGACAAGCCAAAGTTGGTCGCTTTCTCGGCTTGTATTTGTTTGTACGACTGCTTCATTTATCGCTCAAATTCTCGAAGTGAGACGCCATCTTGGCTCCGGTCGCAAAACAGTGAATAGCCAAGGATATTCCGAGTTACGGGAGCCAATCAAAACGCGCGAAAAGTGCTATTCACTGATTTGGTAAATACTAAAAGAGAATATTAAGTTTAGCAGATATTCTTCAAATAGCTGTTGTCATACGTAGTGTGTTTTTGCTATGTTTTAGGCAGAACAATTTCGGCGGACAATTTCTCCTTCACCAAACGTAAGTCATTTTTAGTCATTTTCACCAGCTCTACCAAAACTCCGAACTAAAGCAGCCTCTTCCCCTTGACCCTTTCTTTTGGCGATAGCCTGTTCTAATTACGCTATTTTACTGGATATCGGAAACGTCTTCCAAATTTGGTCAAGGCTAGCTGGGTATGAAGAATTAACCCAGGGGATTGGAGCCAATCAGCAAAGGAGAAATTGTTTTGAATGAATGATAATTACGATTGACCTCAATAACAATAAAACAACAGAAATAAAATACAAGTAAAATAACAACAAGCATGTAATATCCCACTGACTTGGTCAGCGCAGACTGGCCATGAAGAGTTAGCCCGGGATGCAAACCAGTAAAAATGAAGAACAATTTTGAATGAATAATAAATAATTGTATTTAAAAAAACTATAAAGATGCGCGTGCCATGTCCTTCTCCCCAAACTGGATCATTTTCATCAATTGACCAGGTCATTAACCGGCTCTACTCAAAGCCAGGGTCGCTGATAGAAGAGCCACTGCTTGTATTTCCTCAGAGTTTTTCACTGCTTTCCATCTTTTTTATTTATCCAGTGAATCAAATCTGTAATGGTTTTCATCCACCTATCAAGACAAAACCATATTAAGCGTTTTCAGTGGTTCTACTTGTTAATGTCTAAAGTTATAACAAATACCCCAAAATCCGTTATCGAAGCTGGATGATTTAGCAGGAAAAAAAACTCTTGTGTGCCTGAGCGTATAGTCCAGGGGCGGATCTAGGGGGAAGGGTGCAGGGAGTGCTCACCCCCCCCCCCCCCCTCCCGAGATGCCCTGCGGCTTATGCAGATATGTTTGATATGTATTCTCAGCAGTTCACATTATGTTATTGCCAAGTCAAAAGCCTTCTTCTTCGTATTCACTTTTAACATTTGTTTACGTCAACAGTCAGTTACGCCATTTCTTAGTGGTTCATCCCCTCCAGTGGTGGATCCCGGGGGGAGGGCGGAGGGCCCCCCTGCCCTTATTTTTAGACCAAACTGAGGCTCGAAGGGCCGAAAAAATTTTTTTGGGAGACCGCCCCCCCCCCCCCTAAGGGTCTGAATAACCGGGCCCCCCTCATCTGAACGTCTGGATCCGGCACTCGCCTCCTAAGAAAAATCCTGGATCCGCCCATGTAGTCACACAGAACGTATCTATAGTGTTGACTATTAAATAAACGGGTTTTGATCGAATTTTCTATTTTCTCTCATGGGACTCCCGAGATTCGTCTACTGTCCTTGAAGGGGTATCCACCTACAATGTAGATAAAGGGATGATAGGATAGGATAGGATAACTGCTTTATTATCAACAGAGCGCCTAGAGACACATGTGTTTACAACGATAACAAAGATTTTAGTGCAATAATTACAGAGGTGTACATTTGTAGAATTTATACAACTAAACAAGGTTATATTTAACCCGTCTATCTCTTTCGTGGAAGCGATCACATACATATTTAGCCACAATTTTTTGCGTTTTCTCTCCTTGCTTCATACTTATCAACGTTGCAAAGGCAGAGCTTGGAGTCATAGAGTCAAGAAAAAGATTAGTTTCCTTTTTTAGCGTATTGAACACAGCTCTCTACTAGGATCCCTATAGGCTATGCAATTCATCAAAAAATGCTCCTCGTCTTCTAATCCAGTTTTACATAATGGACAGATTCTTTGGTCTGGTGGTTGATAGGGTTTAACGTATCGTCCAGTTTCAATTGCTAGTTTGTGGTTGCTTAATCTTAGCTTTGTGATTGCTACTCTATGATTGATGTTTCTTACATTTGTGAGGTAATTTTCGTAGTCATGGGTAAGTTTAAATTTCCTAAAAGTTCTTAGTTTGATTAGGATGATCGCTGCAAAAATATTGACCTCATTGATAAGAAATTTCGCCAATAAAGACTTAAAAAACAAACAAACAAACAAACAAAAACAAAACAACAAGATGTGGAGGTACAACTCGGCCATACCTTAATTTTTCGTCCTTGTCAATTCCCTTTATCTCATAAGTTCTATCAGGTGTAATGATGTTAAAGCAGGAACTCTCTTCATTTTGTTCCGAATCTGGCAGATCGGTAACTTCTGTGATCATGCGAACATCTATGGATCTAAAAACGTGAAAAATACAGTATTCCATCCGATGTGGCGGAATTTAACATTTAATGTTAACTTAGTGTGGCAGTAAAGGAGTATTACATGACTGCATGTACTGTTATGTTTGTACAGTCCACTCCCGGTAACTCGAACCCTCTAACTCGAACCTCACGCTAACTCGAAGCAATTTTCATTTCCCTTCAGAACATTTTCTACATAATTTTACCCTCGATAACTCGAACTACCGATAACTGGAACTTTTTTCTGTTTTCCTTGAAGGTTCGAATTATTGTATTATTTTTTTTATGTGTAGAATCTCGCCTATCTGCGCTGCAAGAAATCATCCAAAGTTAGTCGATCGCGAAAAAGTTGCTTTCAATTAACATAATACACCTGGCAACTTCTACCTTACACACAGTGCGACTTTATAGGCTCAGTATCAGGCACTCGTTAAAGGTACATCAGGGAAAACGAGCTCTGTTACGTTTCTCTCGAGCAAAGGGAGTGGACGGCAATTATTCAGCTCCATCTTTCCCAGAAATAGAGATTAGCTGAATTAACCTAGTGTGTGAATGTGTTCAGACAGTGTTATTAAAGGCAACATTTATAGTTACTCAGATACCAACCCCATAAAAGTCTTCGTCTTTCCGTCTCTCTTGTAATAACGGATCTCGCCATTCTTCTTTGCTTTAAACCAGCGATACCTCCACTTCCCTCCAATGGGTCCTCGCACGCCCCGCTTCCATAAATAACCGCCTTCGGGCAAACGCATCTGACTCGGTAAAAACATGAGCCTTGGTTCAACGTATTGCTCGATATTGAAAAAAACAACAACAACAACAACGATATAAACAAACAAACAAACTAGATACGCAAGTAAAGGCGACGGCGACGGAAATGAGAACGGCAAAAACTCAAAAAAACTTATTCCTAACATATCTGGCCAGTCAATAAAACACTGGGAGAAAGAATCATGCGCTCACCTCAAGAGCTTGCGAAGCGATCATTTTTTCCATCTCTGATTGTGCCTTTTCGAGCTAAAAGAGGAAAATAATATAAATAAATAATATTTCTTTTGAGTGTCAATATTCTTTCTTGCTAACTGTGTCTTTGATCCTTTTACCTCCAACTGTAATTTCGAGACTTCAGCCTTTAAATCGTCTCTTTCTTTGTGTGCCTTTTCCACTTCCGCTGCCTTGTTAGACATATCAAGTTGTAACTGGTTAATTTTCAGGGTCGTAACATGGTATATCCGGGACCCATTGATCCCTATTTTCTTGCCGTTATTTTGATCCCTGAGCCCCATTTTCCCCAAAATTTTGATCCCTGAGCCCTGATAAAAGAATTGATCCTATCCATGTTTTTACACAAAATTTTAACTTAGGCAACTTTGTTTATCTCCAAATAGAATATAGAACATGCTCAAATGGGCTTATGAGAAAAACATTAACTTTAATTTTTAGTGCAAGTTGTAGGTTCTATCAGAGCTTTCTATTCTGCTATCCCTGTTGATGTTGTAGTCTCTTTCACTCTGTGTGTGTTACAGTGAGGATCACGATCAATTACCAATAACAAAATACCTGCTTTACATGAAGTAGAAAAATTGAATGATGCAAGCCACAGGCTCTACAGTTTACCAGCATATCTATGTCAAGCCCATTAATGGCTTTTCCTGGCTTAATAACCATTGTAGATTGTCAGAGGACATATCTGGTGGTAGGTCTTCCAGACCTACTCCTTCCAGCTTCAAATCTAATTGGCTCTGAAAAGTTGTCCGCCTGAGCTTGCTCCCCTTCCTCTTCGTCACCACCTGACGCAGGTGAATCATCTGATTCAATTGTCCCCTGGAGCAATACAACTAGGCGTTGCTCTTCAAGGCAGCTCAAACTGAAGTTGTTTCCATCTTTTATTATTTGAACTTTCCCAATGATACACTTAAGTTGACGGTGCCCAGTCTGGTATACAAGGGGATCTTCTTCTGACTGTTCCAGACATCTCAAACCCATGTGATCTTCCACGAATGCATCACCGTTATGGTGGAGATCTTTTAAAAGAACTGCAAGGAAGAAAGAATGATACACCTCTTGTAATTGTGCTTGAGAGCAACTACGTCGCCTTTTGAATAGATAATCTCATATTCTTCGGCTGCGTCTTGAACTGTAGTTTGTCCTTCACTCCCTTGAACCTCACTTTCAGCAGATCGACTTTTCCATGTGCCGACGCATTCCTTCTGAACATACTCAGAGCAAGTGGAAGTGTACCAGCTCTTTCTTTGGTCTTCCCTCTCGTTCGTTGCTGTCGCACACCTCGTCCGAATTCTTTCGCAAAGCCCTGCAATGCCTTCCTTTGTCGCTCCTTTCCCTCCGCGCTCGTTTTCTCGTCCATATCCTCCTTGAGGTTTACTCTTGCCGTGCGACTTTCGAAGCCATTCCGGTGCCTTTGGACCCAGCTTTGTCTGTGTGTAAAGGCTTTGAAGACCGGTATAAAATATAAACGAGGATTGGTGGAGCCTCTCTATTGATTCTAAAAGGCAGCTGGGCCGCCACGATGCGTAGTCGTTCAGAGCGGGTGTTCTCACTCCACTAAAAAATTCAGGCTCCAAATCTAAGGTGGTGATACCTTTCGGGGCCAACCATTACATAAGCCGAGGCCGAATAGCCCAAAGGGCCGAAAAAATTCTTCTAGATCAATATTGTCACTAAAGTCTGTAAATTTTGTGTAAAACAAAATAGCCACTGCACGAATGAGGTCTGAAAAAATCTTGCGTGACAAAAATAACCCATCCCCGCCTCAAAAATCAAATAGTGGGCCCCTTACTGGTGGCGTTTCATGCTTAGTGCTATAATATATTAAATTCCTGAGGACTCTGCTACTTATATCTAGTATGGAGTATGCAACATTCCTTTCGCCAATTCAACCGTTTCTATTATAAAAAAAAAACTAAATAAAATAAACTATAAAGGTTTTGTTACTTTTATTTCACCGAGGTAAGTCTTTGGTGTTCCACTTATTTTCACTAATTCTACACTGTAATTTCAGACTACCGTATTTATTCGAATAAGCGCCCAACCTCGAATTAGCGCCCACCTCGAATAAGCGCCCATCCTAAAGGCAGAAAAAGTTAATAAGCGCCAAGCCTCGAATAAGCGCCCACCCCACCACACCTTCCTCCCACTCCCACTCAAACTCAAATTAGCGACCACCCCTAAAACTGAATAAATACTAATAAGAGACTTTGCCGAAGACGGAGTTTTCTTCAAAGTATTTTACAGGAACCTTGCTTTGTTACATCTTCGCGTTCTGTTATTAGCATTTATGGTTTTGTTGGAAAATACACATACTACACTTGCTGAAAATGTTGAAAATTTAATAAGCGCCCAGCCTCGAATAAGCGCCCACCTCGAATAAGCGCCCACTCTCAAGGTCCAAAAATTTAATAAGCGCCCAGGGCGGTTAATCGAATAAATACGGTATTTATCATACAACAAGCATTTATTAGTTATACAGTAACGGAATGTGTCCTTTACTTTCTCGGCCGAATACTAGTACTGGTAGGTGAACCGATCTCGGTTTCTCATCAGAGTTCGAGATAACCCTAAGACTCCATGCAATTAGACCAGATTTATTAAATTGCGAGAAAGCATTTATTTTGCAACAAAGCGAGGGAATTCATTGTACTTTTGTATTCTACTTTTGACGTCCATTCTCATTATTTATAAGTACTTTTAAGAGTTAAGTTACTGGTCAAAAAATACGAACCTCGATTCATAGTCGCCTTGTGACTTGCTTAAGGCGATGAGGCAATCGGGACCTATACAGTAAATTCCGCTTTCAATGAATCGGTTTGTCCATTGTCCTGGCGGTGTATTGTTATGTTTGTTCGGCCCAAAAACTCTATGCTTGGACCCTTGCCAGGAGTAAATAAGTCAAGGAAGTACGTACGTACCTTTCTCTGTCACAGGATTTCTTTTTGTTCTTTTTCTTCTTCCCCTTTTCTCGCAAAAAAAGATATGTATAAATCGCTTTCTCTGCCTTCTGGCGTTGACAGCGTGTTGAGGAGTCGCGTTACAAAGCGAGAAAAGTGACTTGAGATTCATATTACGGTGCCCTCAACAATCAATAAACTAAGAATATGATACCATGTTTTCGTCAAATAACCAGGACTTCGTATGACAGGAACTGTCGCCAGCCAGAAGCAAGAATAGGTATTAAATGTACCTCGGCCCGGAAATTCTATGGACACAAACCTTATTGAGCGGAAAAATATTTTGATAAGAGATTTTTAGACTGTGTAAAAAATCTGATCCCTGATTAGCTCTGATTCGGGCTCAAAAGCCTTTTGATCCCTGATCCCATTCTTCTGAGCCCTGAGCCCTTTCCTCTGAGCCCTGATCCCAGTTATATTTTGGGCTTTGAGCCATGAGCCCATATACCATGTTACGACCCTGAATTTTGGATTCCGCTGCCGCTGCCTTGTTAGACATATCAAGTTGTAACTGGTTAATTTTGGATTCAGCGACTGCCTTCTCGCTCTCCAAGGAGGTAATTTGGGCTAAAAGTCCCTGATACTTTCGGCCTGGTTTAAGCTGAGTGAAATAAAATAACAAAAGTAGGCAAGATCAACAGTTACCGGCACCGTACAAACGACTTATTGACGGACTCAAGCAAAACTAACTACAAGACTGGACAACCGACAATTTGACTAACAATAAACGACTGTTAAACTGTGACAATAGACGAGTCGAAACGCACCAAAATGCAATGACACTTCGACTCTTCATAGAAACTAACGGCACGGCTTAACTGACAGACGACCAATAAGATTGCGACTTAATTGACCAATCAAGTCAATAACCAGAGTTTAATACCATAAAACTGACGTGATACAACTCACTTTGACTCTGAAAATGACCACCCAATAAGTTGTCGAAACGTTAGTCACTGTCAACAACAAAAGTCCTATGTTAGGACTACGTTCACCCGGACGATCATGCTCAGCCAACTTATGAAAAGACTCCTGGGTTCAAACCTTTCACAGGATCTAATTTGCCGGTAGATTGTGGAGCAGTAGCTAGCAAGGGGTAAGAAAAGGCTCTTGTCTCGTCTATAGATTTTAACTAAGCTAAAATTAAATGAATTGAAAGGCATAATTGGAAAAAATAATCCCTAGATGAATGAGATTGACTTTTCTGAAGAAACACTTTATGACACATTCCGGAAACAGCGTTTCTAAATCCGTAGATTCGAGTTTTCCGGGAGGAAGGAGTGAGGGAGACGTGCGTGCTGCCCCATATCCCTCCTCCCCCCAACCCGATGCCGCCCTTAGGGATCCCATATCTATGCCAAAATTCTGGCCATTACATTGCAAGACCTTATGAAACATTCCGAGATCAGCGTTTTTGAGCTTCCACATTTCAAACTTTTCTGGGAGGGTGGTATGAGGGAAGCGTGCCCCAGATCTCCCCACTGGCTCGCACCCTCGGTGATAGCAGATCGATCTTTCTTTACATTTATCTATACCACATGTCTGGAAAAGGCCCTGCCTTGAACTATCAAAACGTCACGGACCAGCTTGAGGGTTTTTTTTGTATGTCATCCGAATTGTCAAACAAAACCATAGGCAAAAATTAAAATGCAGATTGAAAATTGCATGATTTACAAAAGGAAACTTTGGATGACCTTTCTCCAAACCGGAGCCAAGTGCTAAAATTTTAATTTCACTAAATGAAAATGAAATCTTAAATAGAATAATAGTTTCAATATATAAGTGGGTCCTGTTTTTTCGGGCTACACTACTTTGTTGGTAACAGGAGAAGCAATTGAACTTTTATGGAGAATCAAATACAGTATAACGAATATTGAGAGAGCAAATAGCGTTGTGTGTTGCTAAGGCTCGCCAGCGATTAAAATGTGTCTGTTAAGGTGGCTGAACACAGTTTTGGCAGTTAGTGAGTATATGTTATTTGCCAAATCATGGCAAGAGCAAGTTTGCAGCTCACAAGCTGAAACTTGGCAAGTGAAAAATACACTGATAAAAGATTTTGATTGACAGGTAAAATGTGACTTTTTCGTAGTTTCCATGGCAACATGAACGACTGAATACAACCTTAAAATTCCACTTTTGCCCAGTTTACATAAAGTTCGCTCATTAGATTTTCCTATAAACTTGCACACAGCTTACTATTATTAATCATTACCATTTGAAACTTATTTGACCAAATTTTAACAGACAAGTTTTTAGATAATCAATAATACAATCGTACTGTAATTATTAAATGTGTCACAAAATTTGTCTGTTGAACTTCCATTTTAAAGTTCTCATTATTTAAAATACGATAAAAGGAAAAATTCTGCCAAATATCACAAAATTTTAATGAGTAGATTTTGAGAAATCATCTCCTCTGTACCACTGCTTTTTTCGCCACCATGTTTGCTTGTCTAATTTAAAACACGCGCCGCCACGCGAGTTACCGCTGACCGCGCGCAAAACTGTGTTCAGCCACCTTAAATAAACCTTCAGTTTAGTGATAACATTGTAACGTAGCACTGAAGACTGAAAAAGAAAATGTATCTTAATACGAATTTCACTAAATTAAAAAAAGCTATACTGATCGACTCTACCTTACCTTCTTAAGCTTTCCAAAAAGCCTTTTTCCGAAACCTTTTGATTTGGACTTCGACGACGCAGCCGAAAGGGAACAGCCTTCATTCTGTACGCATTCGTCGTCTAAAAGTGAGTGGATAATACCACGATTAATTTCCATACCTTACCATTGCTTACCGAGCATAGCTAGAGCCTGGTCGTATGTAACAATTACTTGGACGGTCATAAGTTCTTTTGACCTTTATATACGCAGCGGGTTAAGCTTACGTGTTGTCTGGTTCGGATTTCCGTCTTCAGCAGATTCCTTCTCGTTTTCATCACCATTGTAATCATTATCATCATCATCATCATCATTATCGTCATCACTCTTGCAATCTTCCCCTCTATCACTTGCTCTGTGTTCCAGTCGTCGAGAACAGCTTGGTTTTCTTTCTTCATCACCATCGAGATTACTGCTTTTACCTTTAGACCCTGCATGACGACTGTAAGACAAACAGCACCACAACATTCAAGAATATTAAGCTTACCTTCTGATGCGATACATTCAAGGAATCGCATTGCAAAAAAGCTTCATCATATTGAGCCCAAAAATCGAAAATTGGTCGGTTTTCAACGAACTGCAAAAACAATTGGACGAACTTAGTGACGTCATATTATGTCGACAGCCGTTTTTTTTTTTTTTTTTTTTTGGAGTAAACAGGGCGAAAACAAAAAATTATGTCCCAAACATAATTACATTTTTGCGTCGGGATACCTGTTGTTATCAGGCACTGGCTGCGTAAACTGGGTACTAGGGAACATGTGATCGAGGATTGCTTTATAGTACGTTGCGCAAATACGAGGGCCCCTTTCTACCTCTACACCATCGTGTGGCAAGTTATCTGTTCAAATTTTCAGGCAAGTTCTTTTGTGTGTGTGTGTGTTTTTTTTTTGTCTGTATGGAACAGCCGAAGGTTCTGATTTTGGGTCACTCCTTTATACGTAGGCTCCGGGATTTTATTATTAGGAATAGTCTCACATATAACCTTAATTTAAACATTAGTACCCCGGTTACAATTCATTGGCATGGCGTTGGGGGTCGAACAATCGATAAGGTTAAGCGGTTTGATTTAACCGAAGTAGAACGTTTTAAACCTGATGTTGTAATTTTACAAATCGGCACTAACGACCTCACACGCCGTCGGTCTTCTCCAGCATCTGTTGGCTCTGCCATCGAGGATTTGGTCTGTTTACCTCATAATGAGTACGGGGTTCGCTTAGTTTGTGTCGGTCAAACCGTTAAAAGGCACCCGGTTGGGGCGTTCAATGCAAACGTACAAATCCTGGCGCAGTACCTTCAAGGGGTCTAAGAACCGCTCCCCTTTGCCATATATTGGACGCATCGGGGATTTTGGCGGGCTTCCCGTTCATATTTGTCATACGATGGTGTCCACTTAAATACAGAAGGGCAGCATAAACTGAACAGAAGTGTAAGGGGGCCAGTACTGCATTGTTTAAAACGCATAACAACATAAGGAATTTCTCGCCCAACCAATTTTAATTTTTGGCAAGTTCATAGCCTTGGCCAAGGAGTTGCGTTCAGTGGGCTTTTGGTGTCTTTTTATGTTCTGTCCATGTGCTTTTGTTGCAATTTAATAGTTGCTTTGGGATTCTGTGCATTCCTGTGTGATGCCCATCCCTGATTTATGTCAATCATGGTCTTTGGAATTTGTTGCGTTATGTTGCCTGAGTGACAACCAAATCCGGCCGTCGTTGACGTGCCCAATTCACTCCAGCTATTAACGCTTTTACATGTGTCTTTATAGATACCTATGTGATCGGCCCGTGACTGACGCTCTCACATCACATATGATGACATACGATTTTTGTAGCTGGTTAATGGGCATCCTGCATGTTTGAATTAGCGTACAATGCATTCTGCCCCCTTGATTCTCCTTGTTGTCTAATCCAGACTTTGCCTATAACATATCCGAATTAACTCTAGCTAAGTTTTATAGGCCTTATTAATCAGCATGCCGCCACGAAGGAAATCGCGACGAACAGCAGGACCGGCAGATGATAACCGTCAACGTACAATTTGTACCTGACGATCCTGACCCGTTCGAAATCCCCCCCCTCCCAAGCGGCCGTTGAGGCGTCTACATCTGGTGTGGAATCGGAGGGCCTTTCCAATGCAATGGTTTCGTCTATTGTAGCTGCAGTGAAAACGGCGATACAGTCGACCAACGCGGCCCAGAATTCTTCCCGTTCCATCAATCTGGTCGCCGACGCAGTGCAACGCGATGTGCAATCTCTTACCAATACTCCAGTTGAGGCCGTTGAGTCGTCAGGTAGCGAGATATTACCAAGTGCGCCTTTATTTTTTAGTATAGGTGTGCCCTTAGGTAGCCGCTTGAGTGCACGCCTAAAGAATAAGATCTGGGCGGAGGAATTCGTCAACTTTGGCTCTCTTCTAGATACGTCCCCTAATCCGGATAAGTTCGCATTATCTATCATCGCTCCCACCGCCGGAATTGGGTCTAAAACCCCTAATTTTACATTCGAACCGGTAAACAATGCAAAGAAATTGACGTCTATTCACGAGTGGGTGTCGGCTTTCCACTCTTTTGTTGCAGTCTACTGCGAAAAATTCCCCAGAGAGACGCCAAATTTGATGCAATTTTGCGAAACAGTGCGCAACATCGCCACACGTGGGGGGGACTGGAACTATTACGATGAACAGTTCCGGTATCTTCGTCAAGGCAACCCACAAACGTACCCTTGGGGAGTGGTACATTGGGAGTTATGGCATCGCGCGGTGACTTTTCGTGCCAAATCTGGATATTTTGCAACCGACAAACCCAACTCGAGGTTTAGGGGAAAACAATCAACGGTCAGAGGGGTGTGTTTCACGTTCAACGCCGGTCGTCCCTGTGCGGGCTGCAGATATGACCATAAATGCTCCAAATGTGGTGGTAGACATGCAGCAACGTCCTGTCAATCTGCCTCACACATTCCCAAACCAGCCGGAGATAGAACTATCGCAACTCCATCACATAATAAACAGCCCACCAGTAACGCCGGTAAAAGTATCCACACTTAGCCCCCTTTTACAACTATCCTCGTCTTAAGCAATTTTTGATTGATGGCTTTTCGTTTGGATTTCGCGTTGGGTTTGTTGGTTGGTACTAGCCAATTACGTCTTGCTTCAAATTTGCGCAGTGCGAAGGACCAACCTGAAATTTTAGCTGCTAAACTTAAGAAAGAATGGTGCGCTGGAAGAATTGTGGGTCCATTTTCTCGTCCACCTTTTGATAATTTTATTTCTTCACCTTTAGGCGTAGTTCCAAAGAAAACCCCCAGGGCAATTTCGTATTATACACCATTTGTCATACCCAGATGGATCGTCGGTGAATGATTTTATTCCGGACCAATTTTCGTCGGTTCAATATGCTTCAATAGGTGATGCTATTACACTCATTAAGTCGTTAGGTAGGGGTTGCTACATGGCCAAGACCGATATAAAATCACCTTTCCGCATTATTCCGATTCACCCTGACGATTGGGCTGTTCTTCGTCTTGCGCTATATTTGAAGTTTTTTAGCACTGCGCTCGAGTGGCTTGCTAAACATTATCTCTGTGCTTCCGGCGTTTTGCATATTCTGGATGATTTCTTGTTTACTGCTACCTCTCAAGGGAAATGTGCCTCCGATTTAAACAACTTTTTGAGCCTATGTGATTGTTTAGGAGTACCTATAGCACATGAAAAAACGGAAGGTCCTTCAACCACTTTACAGTTTGCTGGGATAACACTCGACACGATTAATATGGAAGCGCGTCTGCCGGACGATAAGCTTCAAAAATGCAATGCTCAGTTATTGGACATGCACAGACGTAAAACTACCCTGAAAGAACTTCAATCTTTGATTGGATTATTAAATTTTACTTGTTCAGTTGTTCTACCTGGTCGGGCCTTTCTTCGGAGGCTTGTTGATCTCACAAAGGGTGTCCGTCTCCCTCGCCATCGTATACGGATTACTGAAGCCTGTCGTCGAGATTTATTAGTATGGCTTCAATTTTTAAGAGATTTTAATGGCCGTACATTTTTTCTGGACGAACCGTGGCAGGTTTCACCGCTTCTCGAACTTTACACCGACGCCGCGGGCTCAAAGGGCTATGGCGCACTTTTTGGGAAACATTGGTTTTACGGAGAATGGCCTGCCAATTGGCAATCATTGAACATTGCATTTTTGGAGCTCTTTCCGATTACTATCTCGCTCCACGTGTGGGGATGTCAAATGAGCAATCAATGTGTCTCTCTGTTTACTGATAATGCGGCTTTGGTTGACATTAGGGAACTTAAGAACCACGACGAAGTTCACGACGACGACGTCTGTTGACCGGGAAAGGACTGGAACGAGAACGTCAGTTTCGGCGGGAAAAATTAACAGTTAATGAATGAGGCTGAGTATCTTATGAAGAATTATGGAGATCGAGGAGGGTGTTATCCGTCGAGGCCGTAGGCCGAGGCGGATAACACCCTCCGAGATCTCCATAATTCTTCATATGATACGAAAGCCGAATTCAATAACTGTTTTATTATTCATTCAAAATAATTCCTAGTTTAAAAACATAGCTAAAACATGCTTACCTCCATCGATCCATCGATGTTCAGTTCATCTTCGATAGTGTACGTTTACGTTTGTCCAGCTCCGCAAATATTCTCCAAATAGCAGATGTCGCCCTTCGAGTTGTCTTCTTGCTGTTCTTGCCATGTTTTTAGCTATTTTTTCGCCCAGTTCTTACTCTTGAAACGAGTGAAATGTCCGCCATTTTTTCAAGTTCACAACCAAAACAACTCAACCTCGACCTCGTCCCCAGGTCTTCTCGGTTAACGGTGCCTTAACCTGCGAAAACGCTGCATTTTTGACGTCATTTCCTCGTTAAAGTCAAATTTCTTCCAAATTTGGTCATCAGTAACTGGTTATGGTGAATTAAACGTGTGCTTTTAGCCAATCAGAATCGGGCAAATATTTTGAATGAATAATAAGGAAACTTAAGATGTAGTCGATCGGTAGCTCGACGACGACGACATTGAATGTAAACAAACAAGTAGAAGTAGTAGAACTGTGATGTTCGTTCGCAACAAAGTTTTTTCGCAGAGGCGTCTTTTAAAACGATGCAAGATCTTATTTTATAAGCCGTACGTCTACTTTCATTGACGATGAAGAATTTTTAGTAATGTCTGACCTTTTCGAATAGAAAAATCTCTGCTTTCCGTACGAAGATTATTCAACTTTCAACCTGAATGAGATGACCGAGTCCGAGTGTCTGTCAGAGGTTAGTTTTGGAAAAAGAGACATTCCGATGCGATAGCTGTTTTCCATATAAAGTTTATTTCCTCTTTATTAAAGATATATGATTTGCCTTTCCTAAATACGTACAACTAAATTTATCACTTACGAGTTCGCTCGCTCGGCCTGCACAGCTCAGTGTTGTCTTCGAAGTAAACACAATTCATCAGTCGAATTTTCAATCAACATCGCTTGTTAGGAGAAAAAAGAAAGGATACCTGGATTTACGAGGATAAAAAATACAAAGCCCTTGAAAAATCGCTTAAAAACAAGGAGTTATACCTGCCAAAGCTTGTGGATTGCAGGACGACGTGATTCTACTGTGTTTGGCGTCGTCGACGACACCACGACGACGAAATTTGCTAATCGCGCTTGCGTAGTGCACGGTATCTCACTTCCGGTCGTCGTCGACAGAGTCGTCGTCGTGGTTCTTAATTTCCCTATTATCAATAAGCAGACTTCAAAACACCCCATGATCATGAACTTAGTACGTGACCTTGTCCTAACATCACTACGTCATAATATTTTGTTTCGGCCTTATCATATACCCGGTGTTGACAATACCCGGGCGTTTACAGATTGTAGATTTCAGGAAAGCATTCCCAGATGCCGACCCAGAGCCAACTCATGTTCCCGAGACCCTTCTCCCGCAGAAGTGGTCGATACGCTAAAGGAATTACTACATTCCTCATTGTCGGAGCAGTGTCGCAAACAATACTCACGTGCTTGGGTTGTCTTTACTGAATTCTATACCCGCTATCAGGGTGCCGATTTACATTTGCCTCTTTCGACCGCGTGTATCGCATTATTCATTTCCTTTTTATGTGCGAAGGGCCTTGCTCCTGCTACCATAAACTCGTACCTATCAGCAATAGCATATGTACATAAGATCAAAGGCCACTACGACCCGACCAAATCATTTTTAGTTGAAAAGCTTCTTGTGGCCGTCGGCCGCCGTGGTCAAGCCGATGTTCGTATGCCCATTTCACGTCCATTATTGTACGAATTAGTTAGAGCGTTACAGCATACTAGCCCATCTGCCTATCGTAGATCTCTGTTCGGGGCAATGTTCATGACAGCATTTTATGGTTTCTTCAGAATAGGTGAATTATCTTGCAATAGTAAACAGCAAGTTGACACCGTTGTGCAATTTGATCAAGTCACTTTTTTGAAACAATCTTCCCGAGTGACGGCTGTCAAGATTGTGATCACTAAGTTTAAACACAACACGAATAATCGGCCGTTTGTCATAACCATAGAAAGCGAACCTTCAGAAACGTTTTGCCCCGTGCAGACCTTAATCGACTACATTAAACTTAGGGGTTACCATAAAGGCCCCTTGTTCACGTGTGCAGCCGGCGGGGCAATCTCGACAAATAATTTTAACACTGAGCTCCGTCGTGCTTTGAACTTTTGCGGCCTTGATTGTTCTCGCTACAAGAGCCATAGCTTTCGCATTGGTGCAGCGTGCCATGCGTCTGAGAAAGGTTTTTCGGATTCTCAAATACGTGCCCTAGGTAGATGGAGTTCGGACGCTTTTAGAACTTACATTCGTCCGCCTTCACTCAAGGCTAACTAATTGTTTTTAAACGTTTCAAAGACACTATTCAAGCCGCGGTTGGACCTCCGTTGTATAGGTCAGTCAGGAGCTGCTATGCAGCGGTGATTTTCACTACGGCTAATTAAACATCCGTTATGGGACCAGTATATTTTGTCTTCATCTCTGGTTAGCTTTCACGGGCCACGGTGGATTCCCTGATGCGTGGGTCAGTCAGGGGCTGCCATACTGAAAGGGTTTTTCACTGTGGACTCTTTCCGCTGTCACTTACTATGTACTTTACCAATCTGTTCCCATGTACTACTTTATCAATATGTTATCTGTCTTACGCAGGAGCTACGGTCCTGGCACGAATTGATATGTTATTTAACCTCTGTTTTCAATGTCAGTTCGCGTGCGGTTCATGACTAGGTCAGCCAGGGGCTGCTGGAAACGACCGTACTTTACAGGATTTTCTTATATCCTCGCTGTTTTTAGTCTGCTACACAGCCGTTTTTAGTGTTGTCACGCAACGCTCCTCCCCACTAACGGCTGCTGAAAACCGAACTACATTCCTTTCCCGTGATTAGCCAATTATAATTCAGCTCCCATTTTCTGGAAGGTGTTCGCGCCGCCTTTGCGCAACTGTGACTCCTCCAATCACAGGTTTGCTTTTATCGTTGGCCCATGTGTGAATGACAGAATAATCAAAATCGTCGCGTGAAAACAAGCAATTAACTACAGTGTTGTCGTAGTCGAGTCCTATTCAAAATTTAGGACATAAGCAGCAACAGCAAGCAAGTCGAGCAAATTGCGATGCACAACATGGATGTGCTCATAAAGTTGCCAGGTATAGTTTCGAGAAATCGCTCATCGATAATTTATAAGATTGCTTTTTGAATCAGTACCCTTGAGAGTTTAGTCTTCACAGAAACACAATGAGCACATCCTGTACATTAAATTCTTCATTATACATCAGCACATATACACGTTAAATGAAGAACCAACCGATCTTCGTAAAAGTCTTCTAGGCCTATCAATCCTTTTTTCACTTGGACCTTTCTTGACCGCTTAAAACAAACTTTTTTGCAAATTAACCTTTTCGTTGCTTGAAAACACAGAGCCAGTCTAAATTCAGCGACGATTGATTGATTTGTCGAAAACTGAGAAGCGTGCTCGCTTCCTAGCGCCCTGCGGCTCACGTATTGTCAAATTTCTTGTACGTGATTGGTTTGTTCGTTAGACCACAAACACAAAGGGAAAGGAATGTAGTTCGGTTTTCAGCAGCCGTTGGTGGGGAGGAGCGTTGCGTGACGACACTAAAAACGGTTGTGTAGCAGACTACGCTGTTTTCAGTTTAATATTCCTCGGGGTTCTTAGTTCCGGATCTTGGTGGGGTGGTCACACGCTGTGTGCCTTGTGGCGCTTATTTCTTCCCCACCTTTTCCGAAGAGACATTCAATTGCTTAATTTTTTCCACGTCACGTCACGCTCTGATTAGTTTGTTAAGCGTGGCGTGACTTTTCATTGTTATATTAATAAATACGTCACAATAGTGGCCAATTTTATCCAACCATATGAGTACATTGTCTCTTCGTAAAACTAGTGCGATCCGGAGCTAATTACCCCTCGACTACCTAAGTTTGCGAGATTAGTAAATCCCCAATATACAACTTTCGGAAAGGTATCGTGATGTAAAAACAAAAAATTATGTCCCAAACATAATTACATTTTTGCGTCGGGATACCTGTTGTTATTAGGCACTGGCTGCGTGAACTGGGTACTAAGGAACATGTGAGCGAGGATTGCTTTATAGTACGTTGCACAAATACGAGGGCCCCTTTCTACCTCTACACCGTCGTGTGGCAAGTTATCTGTTCAAATTTTCCCAGCTACCTCCTCTCACTCTTGCAATCTTCCCCTCTATTGCTTGCTCTGTGTTCCAGTCGTCGAGAACAGCTTGGTTTTCTTTCTTCATCACCATCGAGATTACTGCTTTTACCTTTAGACCCTGCATGACGACTGTAAGACAAACAGCACCACAACATTCAAGAATATTAAGCTTGCCTTCTGATGCGATACATTCAAGGAATCGCATTGCAAAAAAGCTTCATCATATTGAGCCCAAAAATCGAAAATTGGTCAGTTTTCAACGAACTGCAAAAACAATTGGACGAGCCGTTTTTTTTTTTGTTTTTTTTGGAGTAAACAGGGCGAAAAGTTAAGTTTTTAAAATGGCAGACATGGGCGCGCCAAGGGTTTTCGATGTTTTTGGCTTTTTTTTACATTCTTTTTCTTGTTGTCAACCTTGACTTATACCCTTTAAAAATGGCGTTGTAAGACAAAATGATATGACTATAAACAGTAACCAAATACTGTGCTTGATAATCGGCTCCTAACTTGTCATGATGCTTTAGGGATGGAGAATTTCTTCCGAAACCATAAATCACCAAAGAAACAAGGGAATTATAAAAGAAATCAGTGCTCATGAAACTTTATTTTCGCTGCAGAGTATTCATTTCTGGATTTGTGTTCAGTATAACGTTCTCTGCCAGAAGACGTTTCCTATTTGTGACTAAAAACAAGCAAAGCAATTTAATGATACACACTCACGAAGTAAGTTCGAAAGCGAGGCCTAGCTAAGGGCGAACAGATTTTCTGCAAACTTCGATAAAAGTGAACAGGGTGGCGAAAACAAGAACGGATTGTGATTCAGAGATATAGAATTAACCCCGAAAGATATTCCGGGAGCAATTATGGTCTCCGAATGAACGTGAGTTGGAAAGTGAACAGTGTAGAAATTAATCTTCGGCAAGGATCCTTCGGAAATACATGAAATGTCAAGTCTGTTTACGTCGTAAGTGTGTATTATAGAATGAGATATTGATTTGTAAATATTTAGCACTGCGGATGAATTACCTTGTCATGCTAGTGCTAAAAATTGAAGTGATCTTCTTTCTTGTTCTTTTATTAGTCATAGCCTAGGTAAACAAACAATGGCGTGTACATCAAAAGCATAACGCAGCATAGAAACAAAAAACAGAACCAAAGACCCGGGGGGTACTCCGTTATATAAGCCATCTAGGTATGTGCGGCCCCATCGGGTAGGATTTTTGCGCCGTTTTGATCTGAAAACGGGTATACACTTTGCCCATGTTGATCTGAAAACGGGTATGCACTTTGCCCATTTGGTCTGGAATCGCGTATGGTTTTCGAGGAAACTACGGAGTGTATGAACGTATTTATCGTTTCCATTCCAAATGAGTAAGGAAAGATAGAGAAATATGCGAATTCAAAATGAATTTGAATATTTTTTTTGTTTGCGCTGTAATCTACGTAATGATAATATAATTTCTGCCTATCAGGATTTGAAGAACCGGGCGGCACACCCCCACCAAGAATTTCCAGGAGTACCCCCCCCCCCCCCCGGACCAAAAAATACGTAAACGCACCTCGTTATCAAAGTTTGCACACTTGTCGAATTTGTCTCCAAGATTTTTTACCAGAAGCAAAGAAAGTTTTGGTTTGATCCGATTCAAGTATGTGTGATGTTCATATCGCGAGAATAAATTCAGTAGGTCAGGTCAATTTCCAGGTAACTAGATGCCGGGGGGCGAGGGTTGTGTTCAGGAGGAAGAATTGTGTCGGCTTCTGTTTTTCTGTACATTACTCTACTAATGAGGTAGATACTACGCCGGTAATTTAGTACTGTGGAATCTTCTTGCGGTAAAGCTATAACGCCTGTCTAACTTTTGAGTATGAAGTTTATTTATCCTCAGATTTGTGCGTGAAGACAAGACAAGACAAGACAATGCTTTATTTGGAGTCTTATACAGTCCTATGTACATCGACTTTATCCAAATAATTTAAAATCATAACACAAATTGCAAACTAGTGGAACTGTAATCAATGTTAACCTAAAGAACTAATGATCTTCTTTTCTCATAGCAGTCGAATACGTATTTTGCAATTAACTTTTGCACTGGTTTGTTCTTGCTCGGAGGGTTTATTAACATCAGAAAAACATCATCTGGCGCCATTCTGTTTACTGATATTCTGTATTCTTTGTTTAAGTATTCAAATAAAGTACTTCTTTTTTCTTGATACGCAGGGCACAGAGTTAAAAAGTGTATTTCATCTTCTACGTCTTTTTTACAGATAGGACAGATCCTCTCTTCCGGTTTCTTATAAGGTCTTAAATACCGACCTGTCTCTATCGCCAATTTGTGATTACTTAGACGGAGTTTAGTTAGAGTTATCCGGTGTCGGATGTTGGTGACCTGACGAAGATAATCTTCACATTTATAATTTTCGGAAGGTTCTTAGTTTGTTCTTTTGGCTGGCGTCTTTTCTTACGTCATTGTTTACGTCACTTAACCATCTTTGTAATTCGATGTCTTTCAGTCTTTGTTTGATAATGTTCAAGATTCCTATGTCATTTTCATGTGCTTTTGTCCAGAGGTATCCCAGCCCTATTTGGTCTAATACGCGTTTGATTTTTTGGCTCCATAATTCCTTATTCATCCTCGACTTCATATCATTAATAAACCACCTGTGATAATTTGTGCGTTGGGTGTTTGGTTAGAGTTATCCAAAACTTAAAATTCCTATATTGTGCTTCGATTTTTATCTTCCTGTTTCAACCCTACATGCATTGTTGCTGCAGTATTTATCTACACCTAGCAACCATTTCAAGAATTTAATTTGAAATAGTTCTGCGGGATATTTTTCTATTTGGTCGTTACAGTCAACACCCCAAATTTCACTTCCGTAGAGAAGTATGGGGGATATCAGAGCATCGAATAGCTTAATTGTCAGCATAATATTTTCTCTAAAGTTGTCACTCATCTCTTTTCTTAGTTTATAAAGTGCCTTAAGCCCAACTTTTTTTAACTCTTCTCTAGCTAAACTAAAATTTCCATACGGGTTCAGTGTCATTCGCAGATATTTATAAGATTTAACATTATTTAGTTTATTTACTCCATACTTAAACGAGTAGTTATTTAAGGATCATGACTTTTGTTTTGTCTAGATTTACAGATAGTTCAGTTTTCTCACAGTAGGATTCCAACTTGTTGAGGAGTGTATGTAGTCCATTTGCTGACCGCGAAAAGATCACTAAGTCATCCGCATATAATAAACAGTTTATAGGTCTTTCAGAGTCATCAAGCAGAATATCGGTTTAGCTTGGTGAATTTAAAAATTCGGGTAGATCACTTAGATAGAGATTAAAAGGGGTGGGTGATAACATACAACCTTGCTTAACTCCAGTGTAACACGGAAAAGCTTCGGTCATTTTTGTTGTTGATTTTGACTGCTGATTTATCTTTTGAGTACATGGACATTACTATTTCTAAAAAACGCCCTTTAATTCCTTCTTTTCTGAGTTTTTCGAATAATTTTTGCCTGGGTATGCGATCAAAAGCTTTTCTAAAATCTACAAAACACGAGAAAAGCAAGTTTCTGCGTTTTTGTGGTTTAGATTTAACAAACTTATCTATGAGTGTTTTTAAGATGAAGATGCTATCTACTGTACCGTGCCTTTTTTTAAAGCCGCATTGTTCTACTTTTAGAATTCCTTTTTTGAATCATACAATCGATCATTGAGGATGGATGTTAAGAGTTTACCTAATGCAGAGAGCAACGTGATGCCTCGGTAGTTTTCAGCTTTTGATCGATCATCCTTTTTATGTATAGGGACGATGAGGCCACAATTCCAGAGCGTAGGATATTTACCTGACCTTAAAATACGATTGAATAACTCTAGTAGATGACGTTTTATGATATCTTTCCCGGTTTTTAGCACTTCATTTAATATTTTATCACACCCTGGGGCTTTGTTTAATTTCAGTTTTTTGATTGCGAAATCAATTTCTTCTTCCGATATTGCATAGTCTAGGGGGCCTGCCTCTTCCTCAATAACTTCAGTATCTTCAAGATATGTCTGGTCGCCAAGCGTGAATGCTTGACATTCACCCCCGTCCCCGCATCCCGCCCCCGTCCTCAACTAGCTGTTAAACTAGAAATACGTTTTCGCAAAAATCTTGCGAAGCTAACGGGGTCAGCAGTGAGAATAAACAGTAAAAAGCCAAAGGGTAAAAAAACGATGAAAGAAAAAAAAAATGTAAGTAGCCACGCCGGGGTTTGAACCTAGTTGCACCCCAACTTCCCCCAGCGAGAAAAATGCGGCATCTGACAACTGGGCCGATCAATCTTTGAAATTAATAGTGTTGAAGTATTTTTCTGTGCCATTCACACTGTTTGAACCTTATGGAGCTGTATTTATCATGAATTCAAAGATACATGTGAGGAAAAATAGCTCAAACGAGTATTTCAAAACCATTTCGCATTATTTCCGTGTTTTAATATTCACTCTCGGGCTTTACATAGGCCTCTCGATTAACGGACTGGTCTTCTTCTTCGCTGCTCTCGCTAGTCACCGTTCTTTCGGTGTTAAACCTTCCACGGTAAGGATTTCCAGCAACTTGTCAAATCGGGCATCCTTATGTTTGCAGCCCGCTGTTATTTGCCTCAGAAATACTTTGCGATTCGCCAACGTACAATAAACAATGAGACCAAGGCGCTGGACGTGTTGCCTGGAAACCCAAAATGCAAGATGATGTCATGTTGAATGGCGTCTTTAGAATTTGTTTATGGTTTGTTGCTAGGCAACTGTGGATACCAAACCGATAGAAAGATTTATGATCAAAGCGTGATTGCGTGATCCGGTCGCTGCGCGCGCGACAAAATTATATATATAGAATCTCTTTTGGAAAAAGTTAGTGAGAGTCTGTGATATGGTTACAAACAAGGCAGCAAGACTGATCTTACGTACAAACAATTTGGGTTCAGATCAATAGGCCACTTCCGAGTTCCGAAAACCCTCGCTTTCAAAATGAGGCGAGGTGCACAACCTTTCTTGTAAAAATGAGTTTTATTTGCATGAGAATAAAAAATCATTTTCATATCAAAGGCTGGACACTTAACCTCGTGTATGGAAACAGAGGCCCGGGGGAACTCAGAAATGGCCTATTGCCTGATCTGTGTAAGATGGCTGATATCGACTGATAGAATAAGAGCGATCGGAAAACGAACTGGACGCCATATGATGTGTCTTGCGAGAAGGTCTTTATGCCCTTATCGTTGCAAAACTCATTTTTAGCCATTCTCATGTTAACAAGTCGAAAAAAAGAGGAGTTGGTGAAAAATGCAGTTTTTTTGCACGAATTCACTACTCGTTGGCAGTCGCCAAAGGGTTACAATTGCCCGTAACATTTTCATTTTTCAAACGCCAGCTGCCAGCATTAAAAACCACACTGAAACTCTAATAAGTTTCACTGCTGTGCAGTAGTCATCGCATTCAAACAATAACTTAATAACCAAAGCCTAGAGGTAACTGCATACTTAAATAGTGATCTTTAGGGCAGCTACTATTCTGCTATGAAGGACAAAGCCCATCGATCAACGCCTTAATTAAAGCATATTACCCCACCCCCACCCATGCCACCACCACTCGCATCAGTTTACGTATATATAGTGTTTCAGATCTGCTATTTGCCACATATTTGTATGCCCTTTACTGTCGCGTTTTCCTCTACACCAAGCTTTGGTATCCGCTGGATTGCTGAAAGATGAGACCAAGAGAGGATAAAGGGGACAGAGAAGGCATCCCCCATACACACCCTATTCCATAGGTAATTCGTCTCGAGTTAGTTTTAGAATCGGGATAAAGTTACCTCGCGCGCTGCGTGGATGTTTCGTGGAGGTTTCGCATGACTAACGCCATGCAAAACATGCCGGGCAAAAGGCAATGAAAGCGTAAAGAGATCGAGAGCATTTCTGAATATTGAAGCGAAATGAGTCAGCGCTCACCTGGGAAAAGGGAATCGCTCGACTCTTTGACAACCCGTGAAATCAGTTTAACTCGAAGTTATCGTAACCTAAATGAGAAATTTCGCCGGTCTATTGAAACCGGTCGTTTGTAATGAATAAAGCAAGTAGCAAGTAATATTCATGTACATGTAATTAGTTTTACAAATTTGAATTTTATTGTAGTTTTTTTAAGTTGTTAAGCGCTGTTGATCAGTGAATGTAAATAGCGCTCTAGAAGTTATTAAATTATTATTATTATTATCATTATAGGGCGCCAAGTGTTATTTTTGTTGAATAAAAGACTAATAAAAAAATAAATATCAAACCAGAAATTGCTCTCTTCAAACTGTAAATTATAAATGATCCTGAGAGAATATTCACTGTGTTAAGGATTTCCCTGCTGTACTGTTAACTCTATACAAGAGAGGAAGGGCGATTCTTTTTAATTTCCGTTTCGCTGACACAGCTTTAGCAGAAATCTCTCTTTAGTCGTTTTCGTCGACAAAACGAATAGCAATATTGCTCTCCGCGTCTTTCGCCATTTTTTCTGCCTCAATTCGTGAAGGACGCGCGACTCTGAGCGTCGGTCATCCACGCGGAACACATTCGCGCTATGTGATTGGCTGTTGTCTAATCCCCCTTGGGATCTGTGGTCTTAAAAATAACTCGAGAAGAATTGCCTATGGAATAGGGTGTGTATGGAGGATGCCTTCTCTGTCCCCTTTATCCTCTCTTGATGAGACACATTCGTCACACAAGCAAGTCCAGTAGTTAACTGAAGAGGGAAGATGCTTTGACTTTGCAGGCTTAAAAGAAAAACTTCGTTGAGTGGAGGGAACACAACTTTAACCCTCGGACGTACAAAATGCCACCCCCCATAAGGTTTTTCTGAGTTTTTTTCCTAGAGGATAAAACACCAGCACCTGACGTTTTCAGCAACTGTTCGCTCATCCTTGGCGCACATTTTGAGAGAAGTTTAGTGATAGTCAGTTGCTATGGTTACGAGATATGACGTCATAAGTAGCAGGTGGTCAAGCCATTTTTGGGTGAAACTACATGTTTTTTCAACTTCTTTCAACAGTAAAAGTAAATCTTGTGGCTAAAATCATGCAAAGTGCTTATTTATGTGTTATTTTTCATGTAAAGCACAAAAAATTACCATTTCTCGCGGTTTTAACCTGATTTCTAATTCTTGGTAAAATCCAAGATGGCGGCCAAGATGGCGACCATTGTTGGTGACGTCACAGGCCTCCAGCAGCGCCATCACCCATAAAATGTACCTCATCTTGTTAAGAAGATCAAAGGCTTTCCACTAAAGGTAGAATCGTTTCGAAATACTGTAACATACCAAAAACTCCGCGGAAGGGTTCCATCCACCCCCCCCCCGCCCTCCTTGAGCCACGGTGGGGGTATGAATTTGCGTGTACGTCCGAGGGTTAAAATTTTAAAAGCAGGAGCTGTGAGAGAGAGGCGAGGATTGATTTTTATAGTTCTATCTGGTGTTATTTGTTGTTGTTGTTGCTGTAATTGCCTACTTAGTATCTAGAATGCACTGTAACAGTACTAGTAACTGTAATTTCAAACATGAGGTTGTACTTTCTGTGACAAAACAAGAGTCCCTTGAGAGTCCACTGATCGTGGGCTTGGAAGTGGCCAATGAGATGATTTGCGTTCTTCACGCAACACGTGGCCGTTAAAACCCGTGCGTTCGGCCGACTGCCCAGAACCAAAGACTTTTAGAAATTTCTCTGACCAAAAGGACATTGCTTGATTCTGACGAGTAGGAGATAATTGTGAAAACTTTCTCGTCTTCAGGAGTTTGTGAGTTATAGTGAGTGTTGCACGTTGTTTTGTGATGCGCGAGCGATTTATGAGTTGAGTTTACAGACAGTAACGTGCCTTACTTCGCTATATATATATATATATATATACCTGATTGAAAAAACGTTGTCGCTAAAAAGTATAAACCATGAACGATGAGGTTTCAAGGATTTATGGGTATACGTTCATTAGCAAAGCAATTCAAAGTTCTTTCGACAAAAGTTTACATTGTCACGAGATGCTCGTGCGGATGCAAATCCCTAGAGTCCTTTTTTAAAGGCATGCTGTTGTCTTTTTTTGTCTTCCGAGAACGCTTTTAGGTCCTATATTATGATTTTCAAGTGTGCGTTAGCGATATGGCTACGCTCTTTAACTGTAGAAATCTCTTATGTGTCCAGCACTGGTGAAGTTGTGAGCCGTAAATACTGGAAACCGCTTTACGTTTTTTTTAATGCATCGTCGCGAAAAGCTTCGTAAATGTAAACATTTTTGAGAAGAACTTTAAATTTGCAATGCTAATAAAGTTATACCCGCAAATCCATTAGGTCCCATCGTTCATCGTTTATACTTTTCAAGCGACAACGTTTTTTCTGCAGGAAAACACGTTAACTGTGCCAACAACGAGCTAAAAAGCCAAAGAAAATGGCCAGGTTACCCCGAAAAAGCAACAACAAACCCAAGTTGAGGTGAGTGAAGTGTATCTCTACATATAAATAAATGTCATTTCACAGTTTCCGGCATCATGAACAAGTTAGAAATTGCAGAAATTGCTTGTTGTGCAAAAAGCGAAAGAGTATGTTGTAGTGAATTCTTTATATCAGGTAATTTATATTTTTCTTTTGTTTCAACAACAACAGTGCAGTAGTTTATGTTGAAAGCACCCTGAAAGTGCACAATCCTTTGTTTTCTGTTGGCAAATTGTTGCGGAATTGATGCAACGTTTTTATTGGTCAATACGATCAAAATGATAGGCCAGGAATGCTTTTGAACGTTGTGCACTTTCAGGTCCACAAAAACATATAACAAAGGAGTCTGACGGGTTTCATAATAACCATTCCACTCAATTAACTACGCTGAGATAAAAAAATAACTACAACAAGTATAAAAACATGCGGCAGTAATTGGTGCTCCGAGCCTTACGTTCGTCATCAAAATGGCAGTAATTATAAGTGACAACTTAATCAATACCATTTTGATGATTTTTTTTTTGTTATTGACAACAAATTAACAACGTTAATACACAGCAGAAAGTAAAAGAATAAATAAGTAAATAAATATGTCAGTAAGTAACAAAACAAATCATAATAAAAAATAAAATTTATTGGAAAAAAAAAAAGAATTTCTTGATCGTCAAACGAACTGGACGTGATCTTATTCCGCACAAAGATGATGGATACGACAGCTCTTTAAACAAACTTCTTTCTTTTCTAAACATTAAAATTAAACTAGGGCAAATATTATTTTAATAACTTAACAAAAACACGTACCCTAAGAAAATGTCGAGTAATGATGGATAGTTTTGTCAAGGGAAAATCTTGCATATACCCTGGCATCAACTTATATCAAGCTCGGGCGGAAATTCACTTCAAACTAATGATTTTAGTAATTTAAATATTTTAAGATATCTGCCCGCCTGTTTGGAGAAAGGACATGCAGCAAAAACTCTACTAACATTATGAAAGATCAAAGCAATAATCGAAAAAGCCATCAAACTCACCAATTGACCGCTCCAGAAAATACCATAACATCTTTGTTTGTCACCCCAAAATTCTGGATAAGCATTGTCTTCAGTTTCTCCTGGGAGTTAAAATAGCCCCAAGAGAAACTGAAAACAATGCTTATGCAAAATTTTGGGGTGACAAACAAGTAGCATTATGGTATGCTATGGTATTTTCTGGAGTGGTCAATAGCAATAACTAGTAAATCTCCTGACTTTAATTATTAGTTTCCAAGCCATTTAAAGAACAAATACAACATCATATCTATGCAAATATAGAAATTGATCTGAGAAATATACGCAGGTATAAAACTAGAGAGGAAAAAAAGAAGCCTTAGGGTAGAAAATTTCATAAGCTTAGTGAAGTCTTATAGCGTGGCCGAGAAAAGGACAGCAAGTTACACAAAAGGCTCACCAAGGTTTTTCTATCTGTCATACAGTACAAGAAAAAATTTTACCGACTAAAGACTTATTTTTGCGCCCTGAAATTGCCATCCG